GGACACAGTAAAGAGGAAGAATAAACTGATTGATGACCTAAATGATAGACAAAGTAATTCAAATCAAGGCCAGAGTTAATGAGATAGAGAAAGGCATTTCAGTGCTCTGATGCTCCTGCTCTATAAACCTGCTAGAGCAGAAAATTTATGCTGATATGAGAAATAGTAGTAGTATGAATATTAAGAATATAATTTATAACTGTTATTAAGGTCTGTCACATAATTATAAGACCACCTCTCATTTTTTTTAATTTCATAGAAATTAATGAAATATTTACAGTAATACCCTGAACTCACGCGATAGATGGGACCGAGCGATTACCGCGTAAGTCGGGGTATAATTTCGCAATTTGTGTAAAATCCAAGTCGGTTGTATATAAGCTAATAAATGTTAATCTTAATTTGTCTTTTGATTCATTCAAGGTTGAAAAGAAATCACTGCATAGAGTCTCTGAAGTCTCTGTAGATATAACAAACACAGAAATAAATAACACAAAATAAATTGTAGCTATGCATCGATTCCACGCGACACATCCAAATGTGTAAGCTGAACAATAATGTGGGGGGAGTGAGTAATCAAGAGTTGCGTGGCGCTCAAACAAAAGACGAATCGATGAGATTTGAAAATCGCGTAACTCCGGGTTCACATAAGTCGAGGTGTTACCGTATTTGATTACTGTTATAATAATGTCTATTATTTCAAATTATGCAATATTTATCACTGTAATAAAACACAATTCTATTAATTATTTTTTACAGAATATCTAAAAGCATACTCTTTCAAAAATATAAGACCACATGCAAAGTATTAGAAAAATTATTTTAAACTGTTGATATTACATCATCTATTCATTGTTATAAATGTAATTGTCAAAGTTTTAACAGTTTTACCACATTTTAAATCTATTGTATACTGTTTTCTACAATGCCATGTGGTTAGTAGCTTTCAGAAGATAAAATTTTTCAAAATTTGTACTATTGTTGTTCAGGGAAGTCAGAAAGAGAAATATCACAAGTACTAATTAGATCTAAAACAACAATTCATATTATCAAAAAGAGAAAATTTATGTAAGAAAAGTGATCAGGACATAAGAAATCCTGAGTAATTGAGATTGCAGAAGAATGTTTGGGCAAGCCACCAGGAATATGTCTACCAGGAAAATATCTCGTGAAATGGACAATAAACTATCACATACAACCATTTGGAGGCATCTGTAAAAGAATCCCATTGTTAAATATTCAACAATGAAGCTGTTCCAAAACTAACACTCTCTCACAAAATAGCTAGACTTGAATGAGCAAAAAATTTCATGCCCGGAAAGAAGAATGAAGAACTACAATATTTTCTGATGACAAGTTCAACTTTGCACAACATTATCTAATTAAGATGTAAATGTAACTGCAGAGTTTTGCAGCAACTAGTCGAATGGCCCAGGAGTGTATAGTGAACAAACATCCTTATTAATATATATATAGATAATCAGTGTTTCTACTCAGTTCCTACAATTTTTGTTTTAAAATCCATGACTTTCTCTGACCAACTTTGTACAAATTCCCTGACCTGCACATCCCTTATGGTATAGCATATCAACAAAATGAAACAGCATTTGAATTCCTATGCACATTTGCTATTGCTTTTTCAACTTTTTAGTTAATTAGAAAATAAATAACTAACAGTCATATTTTTTTTTTTTATAAAAGCCAAATTATTAAAATTAAAACTAAACATTTTATGAAGTTAAAATAGCTTATCCTGTTATTAAAATGCACAATCACAAATTTACATGACTTTGGAAAAAAAAACCATTATTATTCATTAACAAATCATGTATAATCCATGTACAAAAGTAAATACAGTAGAGCGTCGTTTATCCGAATCAATTGGGGACTGGGGTGGTTCGGATAACTTATTTTTCGGATAACGAATCATGTACGAAAAAATATATTAATTTATCTCATGTTGAAATTTTTCTCCGTTGCGTGTCGCTTTGCGTTGAATTTTCGTCGATGTTAAGCCTAACAAAGACTATTGTATCATTAAAAATTATTTTTTTATTTTGTACAAACAAAATAAATATATTGAAAAATATAAAAACAATAAAAAAATTATACTTCAGATGTTAATTTAGTATCAAAAATGTAAAATATTTGAGTAGCCCAAGAAATAGCCGAAGATTGCAGCACCACAGCACTAGCGAAAATTGAAATTTGCCGACTGGAATGCTTTCGGATAACCAGCTTTCAGATAAACGACGCTCTACTGTATTTATTAAATTTATCCCTTAATGGCAGAGAAAATCCTCTCAAGAATTCTAGATTATTATTGGTGGGAACATACTGAGAGAGAAATTAAAAATTATGTTAACAATTGTCAAGTATGTCAGATGAGTAACGATTATCCATCGAAAAGTTGAGCCTTCTTGCAGACAAAGGATGTACCAATGAGACCATTTGAAATGTTAGGTCTTGATCATATTGGAATACTCCCATCAAGGCCAAAAAATGCAGAGAGATGAATTTTGATGTGTGAACAATTATTTTACCCATTATTTGTAAACTACACCTACAAGTAGTTTAAGTACAGAGACAACATTGAGAGCTTTACAGGAAAATGTACTTGATGTGTATGGATTTCCAAAAACAATCATTTCAGATCAAGAAATGTCATTTGTATCTGAAGATTTTGAAAATTTCTTAGACAAACATATCAAAACTTGTACTTTCCACCCCAAGCAAATGGACTTATAGTGCTCTTTGTTCTTTCTACAATACACATCTTTAGGAAATATACTGATGATATCACAGCATGAAAACAACATGTATCAACAGCAGTATTTGCTTAAAATACAACGAAACATAAATCAACTCAAGAGTCCTTTATACTTACTCCATGGTTTTGAACCAAGAACATCAGATATACAAAGACTAGAGGAGGGACAGTCACTCAAGAAAACAGGATAGATAGATTGAACTGTTTGTTAATCAAGTACAAGTTGTTGAGAATCTTGCCTATGCTCATGACCAAAATAAACACAATCTAAGATTAATTAATTAAGGAACATGACTTGGTGTTGTACCGTCATTTAAGCAGACATAAGTTTTAAGGCAAATGGAAAAGACCATATATAGTGAAGATAATTAATCCTGTCAACTATCTCATTAAAGAAATACATGATGATGACAACAAGTTTTGTACTTAAAAATCAAATTCATCCTTATAATCTAAGAGCTCAAGAAGGTCTAATTTCTAGCGATAAATTTACTTACTGAAGACTACATTAACTTTATGACAAGGAAAGAAGACTGAAGGTGTTACTGTAATAGACAATAACCAAATAACATCAGTTAATGATGAGTTTTAAGAACAAATGTTTGTATTGAAATTAAACAAGCTTTATTATGAATGATTCTTTTTTATTTTATGAAACTGTCCTTTTCCATATTTCTGACTTATTAAACACTAATTTTATAGTGTATTTTGTAGACATATGGCAAGTTTTCATCAATTATCTTTATTTAGCTTTTTGTGCGCGTTTCAGGCTATGCCCCTCCTCACTCAACTTTTTAATTTATACAACGTGTATCCTAATCTTGTAAAATTTGATTTTTTAATTAATTAACTGTTTCAAATCCTTTTTGTGGATAGACAATTATACATTACAGCTTTTTCCTCCCCCTTTCTTCTCCACCCCTCTCTTGATGTTTCTGCTGGTATTTTTCTGCTGATGAAAACTTGCCATGTGTCTACAAAATACACTGTAAAATTAGTGTTTAATAAGTCAAAAATTATGAATGATGTTTGTTTTGTATTATTAGTGTTTGAATTTAACTTTTGATTTCTATGACACTCAACTTTATTTTTGTTGTTTGTTCTAAACAAGACAAAAGCAAGTGGTTTGTTTAAAAGTATTCGCAACAAAACATAAGGGTTTTTTAAGAAAAAAATGGCAACGATAAAAAGCTGAACAGATCAAAACTCGGAAGGGGAGATTAGTTGTTTTGGAAAGAAAGCAGATGGTGGCCAAACTGTTGTAAATACATTTTACAACAGTACTGGTTAACTTGTTTAACATGTACAAAATTAATGAAATTTTTAAAATATACACACATTAAAGTCAATTTTGCAGTTATAGTCTATAAATTTAATTTTTATGTAAGATAACGAAACCAAGATACTTTGACACCTAACATTTTCATATTGTTGAGTAGACATTCATTCCAACAGATTAGAAAATGCATATCATATCAAATTCTATATTAGAACGACCAGTAAAAGTTACTGTATCATTTAAATATATATAAACGAACGACCTAAAAGTAACTCCTACCGACCAATCTTAGCGACTGCAGGTAAAGAAAAGACTGGGTTACTTTGAACACAGTAGATGTTAAAATCCAAGTCGGAAAAGTTGAGTGAAAAATATATTGATGTCAGGAGACCGTGAAAAACATCCACACAGAAAAAATTCGCGTTAAGAAATTCAAGTTGGCGTTAAATGACGTTTAATCCCTTTGTTATTTCTGAACAATGATCTGCACACGATTAAAAGAAAATTAAAATATACAAAATATATAAACTTCAACTATTAGTTGACTTTTTTCGAAAATATTGCAACCACTCTACATACAGATCTAAATGACCACTAAATAACTCTTCTAATTCTTCAGTTGCAACTCAAAAACAATTAGTAAAATGAATCAAACATCAAATTTTATTTACAATTTTTTATTAATTTGTTTCGGTACCTTTGTTTGTTGTAATTATTAAATTATTTATGGACTTGTCATTGTGTCCACCTGCTACTTGACTCAACAGAATCAGGCTTCAACCATATTAAAAGTTTTTAAATCACGTCTATTGTTCTGCATTCCAGATTTTTTAGAAGTTTTATTATAAAATTTAAAACGGAATTTCAACATTTAGAAAATTTTAAAATTGATTCTAGAGATTGATCGGTTAAGAAAATTGGAAATTTCAACCGACTTCAATGAAAATTTACCTTTCCTAAGAATCGTCCACGTGAATACCTCTTTTTTGTCGTCGGATCGATCAAAAATTCGGGTATTTCTCTAGTTGAGATCTCTTCCTTCTTCTTAGTAGTCATAATACTAAGTTTTTACTTATAATAAATAATGCGTAAAACAATATTTAAATGTATTAACTTCTCCAACTAGCTGATATCTTTCGAACATTTTGAATTTCCCAACTATTTAAATTCAAATTCGGTTTAACCAATAAGAAGCTATCTAGAAGCATACTCTCGTAGCGGACGTTTAGTCTGTTCTTAATTTATATTCGTTTAAAATTTAAAATAAAATTTATTAAATTATTTAACATTTATTAATAAGAATTAAATAAAATCACATTATTTTAAATTATTTAGAGTTCTTGAAGTTATAGTTTAGTTTTAACATCGATTTTTATAATTGGCATAGATGGCGCATGATCGAAAAGTAGTCATGTGATTATGTCTGAACGACGTTTACTAATATTTATGATATAAAAGTTGATTTGTAGCTATTTATAAAATAATTATAGTAGGAAATATCTAAACTTTCGATTAATATTATGCGTAAAATAATAACTGTTTTAGATTTTTATGAAAGAAAATTACAACTATTTATGTAATAAGATCGGAATCGACGGTTGGGAACGACGCCATATTGGGAAAACTTCTAAAGCTGAAAAATTAGACGGATCGTATTAGTGCACGTTGTTCACTCCGAAGTTTGTTTATCTGTGGGCTTCTCCTGTGGAGTAAAGCTTTGTTCTTTTTCATTCTTTACTTCTAGTTGTGCCCTGCGAGGGCTCCAGCAGGGCGACAAGTATTTTCGATATAATATTCCAGCTTCGAATGAAGGGGTGGCGACCCCCCAAAGAGTAGCCACTCCTACACCAAAAAATAGTACTAACCCAAATCTCATTAATCAACACAACCTCGAAACCACCCATGGACGATATAGCGTTCCTTAACAGTGTTGCTGGATCTGAAGGTTAAAAAGTAGCATGGTTGTGCTCCAAAAGTAGCGGATTTGAACTGTTTGTAGCCCAAACAATAAAAATGAATTATTTTGCAACTATGCACTTTTACTAATGAAATAAGTTTGTAATATATGTATATACATACACAGGGTGTATCAGAATGCCGTTTTAAAAATTTGGGGATTGTAGAGGATGAAATTTTGAATGTTTTGATATAAGGAACCTACAGCCGGAAATGAGATACGTATAAAGTTTCTACTGCACTTTGCACGTTCTATGAGGTCGGTATGCTGAATGAAACAGCAGAATACAGTATTTATGANTCGATGTTCTTGTAAGTAAGGATATCACGTAGCCAAAGCGAAAGTAGCACTACGATTGACATCAGCGCCACCTTGTCTGTGACGTCACTAACCTCGATGTATGGACCGAACGGTTATAATGGAGGAATATAAGCGCTTTCGACACTATATTTTCTAGCCACTGTAGTGCGACTAAATATCCAGATGGCACAATTCTCTGATTGGTCAGCTGAATGACGTCAACCCAGCGATTATATTTTGTGGTAGTCAGAACGTATCATGACGAAATAGATTATTATTATTTTTTTTTACTTGTCGTAATATGGAATGAGTATAAAGTGAAAATACAGCAGATTATTTATTTTTTTGAACATTTAACTTCATACTTGGTCTTTATGCACCTCTGAACCAAATCATACACAATAGATCATTTTAATAGTGTGATTAGTGTTCTAAATTTACATGCACATATAGTAAATAACAGAAAATTTATACTTTGTTACAGATATTAATCATAAAAAGTTTGAGAAAGAATGAAATTTATAATTAAGACAAGTCAGAATATTTTTTAAATTTGTCATATGCATTTAATATAGTTAGTAGAAACAATAAAATTAACTAAGTTTTGTATACCTCTGAAAGAGAAATTTTCACAAATCTTGCTTAACAAATTATAAAGTTTAAATGTAAAAGTTATTGAACAATTTTGAATAATGAATATTTTCTATAGATTACTCTTATCAGAATTTTTGTTTTAATGCTTTAGTTAGAATTGACAGTTCTTTCTGTCAATAGACATTTTGTGCTTTTGAATGTCAGTTCAAAATCTGTGTGTTAAGAAACAATACTTCTCAAATTTACAGAAATTTCATATGTCCAGTTCCATTATGGATATATCTGTAAATATGTTTAATCATATTTGTATGACCATTTTTTAAATTAAAAGTATAGAATTCTTGTATAAATTATTTAACAATCAATAATACTGTAAGTATTTAAATTCCTTTGAATATAATAGTTATATTTGTTTTAAATAAGAATTTCCATACATTTCATCATGGAAATTCTTTATCAATATAAGTGTCAGGATAAAGTAATGTTACATTTGTACTGTAATGTTTTCATAGTAAGCTATTTTTTTAGCCTTTTTTTATATTTTGTTAAAATAATATTACCATAGGAATGAATAACTATTTCTAGATGCCTTGTATGTGCTGTATACCTGGTTGCATAGGAAAATATACATCCAGTGTCTATACTGTATTTAAGTTTCCACAGGATTTGATTTGAAAAGCAAACCAATAGATTAGAGAATTTGTAAAAAAAAATAACTTATTATTTAAAATGTTTTAACAGTTATGCATTAAAAAGTATGAATTATGTTTAGGTGAAAATATATATTAAATTGTTAACTAATCTGCATTTTTACTTAGCATATTCTGTTGTAATATATATATATAAAACATTAAATACAAGTTTCTGTAAGGTTAAAAATACTGTATTGTCTAATAAAGAATGTTAAAAAAAAACTTAATTTGCAATTTACATTTGTTGTTTTTGATTATTTTATTATTATAGTAAATGTACAAAAATGCTATGTTGAAATGAAAAACATAAAAGTTACTTCTTGATATTTAAAAATGTCTCAGCATTAAAATCTTTGATATCACGTAATTTAATGTTAAAATTATTGAAAATTTCAATTAATGTCAATTAATTGAAATTTTCAATAATTTTAATATTTCAATAATTTTCAATAATAAAACACAAGAGCTAGTGAAATTATAAATAAGTGCCTTTTATCAAGTTTTAGATGAAATGTCTATAACTATTATTTAATGTCTGCCCGCTCTCACAACAACAACAACAACAATACGAAGTTTAGGCTAATCGATCAACATTACCGATTTTCGTAGGTTGACGTCATTCAGACGACCAATCAGCGCGTTGTGCCATCTGGATATTTAGTCGCACGTGTCATGTGGTGATCATGACTATACGATCGTTTACTAACATTTATCCCTCGCATTTAAACAGCCTTCTCCTAGCCTACTTCTATATATTTCAATCTTCTCCGCCGTCATTGCTAAAGTTGAGGAAGACAGAGGTTTCATGATTGTTGCCTTGTCCCATTTCACTTCAGAGCCTTGGGCCTGCGCCATTTGGGACAAAATTGTTGAATTAGACGCTTTTCTTATGGCATATCTATGTTCTTTGAGCCGTACTCCCAAGTTTCTGGCGGTGACTATGTTATGAAAGAAATGGCTAGTCGAAAGGAATTAAGAATGGTTTTAAGGAAGAGCTCCTAATTTGTATAAGATCTTGAGAAATGATAAGGATAGTATCAAAGCGGAGGAGAAAGCAGGGTTATGAGAACTGGATGTTAAAAATGATTATATCGGCGTCACCACCAGAAACTTGGGAGTAAGGCTCAAAAAACAGATATGCCATAAGAAAAGCGTCTAATTCAACGATTTTGTCCCAAATGGCGCAGGCCCAAGGCTCTGAAGTGAAATGGGACGAGGCAACAATCATGAAACCTCTGTCTTCCCCAACTTTAGCAATGACGGCGGAGAAGATTGAAATATATAGAAGTAGGCTAGGAGAAGGCTGTTTAAATGCGAGGGATACCGGGAACCTGCCTTCAGCGTGGAAGTTCATGGTTAAGAAATTTACTAGAAACTTGGATCAGAATTAGTACATTGGAAGATTTATGTTATTTTTTTGTTTTATTTTACTTTTATATATTCTTCCGTTATTTTTCTCTTGTAAAAAAATTTTTGATTTAAAATTTTTATGTTCTATTCATGGAACATTTACGTTCCATTTTCGTTTTCGACCTGAAGATGGCCTGTTAACTGGGCTGAAAACTTTTTTTTTTTTACAATTATACGTATTTCTCGGCAAAAAAACGTGTTTTGTTTCTGTTTATTTATATAATGATTTTTTTCTCTCTTCTCCCTGTGGGCACTAAACGGGCCTTTTTTTTAGCGAGCCCATTATGAGTTCGACATAGCTCACGATGGGGTGGTCGGGTGATGAGGGACAGGGTCCGACATATCCAGACGGGCTACTCCCTCAATCTCTCCCGAAAAATTCCTGGGAATTTTTTTGACTCGTCGCACAGTGGGTCATAGTAAAGAACTAGGAGGACAAAAGTAAAAAAAAAAAGTGCATAATTGAAAATGACTCTTACATATTTATGAATTAAGAAACAACATTGCAGGGAGTCAATTGTTATCGATAATTTTTAAAATACGCGCCGTGGCGTTGCTAGCAACAAAAGAAAAGCATCAGTTTTATATCTCGTTGGAATCACAACGTTAGTGACGTGTGCGAACTTGTTTCGAATAGTTGTTTCGCTGTCTGTTTTGAGTATTTTTATCAGATATTAAGATGAATAGTAATCGCCAAGGCATGTAGTTTAATACGTATATTTTATTAATAATAGCCAATGGTGAGATTTTATTTAAAACAATCGCAAACCAAGGGATTTTTACACTTTATTTTAAATAAGTAGAACTTTAAAATTTCTGCATCTTTTTTCCTATGCCTTTCTACGTTTTAATTTAATTTTTTCCGGATTTTTGGAGGTTTTATAATTATGTCTAACACATATTTATTTGCGGAAATGTGCGGATTTTGATGTATAACCATTTTTTGTTTCTCGGGGCGTTGGCTTGTAGTCAGCAGGGGGGGGGGGAACTTTTTGAAAAACTAAGAGAAAGAGATAAAACGATAAGAGAGTCATTCGAAGTACAAAATATTATCGTAGACTACATTAAAGAAAAGTTTAATTTAACAAATCGCAGTCAAGTTATGGAAAATGAGTTACGTCAAATCATATTTTGTTTTTCCAGTGGTCTAAGTCAAAGATGGAAGAAATGTAATCGAAATATCAAACATTTTCAACAAAAAATCATTTATGGCTTAATGATCAGATAATTATCGAAAATGTCGATTTGCCACAAACTAGTGCAAGGCACTGCAAGCTGTGAAACACCACAAAAACAAATAATGGGACGTCCCAAAAACGATTTTTCGAATACTGGACCGAGAGCAAAAATGAGAAAAGTTTAAGGAATATTGATAATCGAAACTTGAATGATATTACTCATGCTGCTGAGATAAAATTAAGATTATCTGGAAAAAGAGACGCAGCTAGTAAAAAGTATTACGAAATCTCTAAAACGAGCGACGAGATTGAAAAAAAATCATATAATTCAACGGTGGGCAACCCCCGGCCCGCGAAGAGTTTCTATCCGGCCCACGAGATGTTTAGAAGAAATTATAAATAAATATTTTTCGATGTAATTCTTCTAGTTTAAATTGAATATTATTTTCTGAAGTGTTGCGGCAGCAATGACAGGAAAAAATAAGGGAGTAATTTCCTTATTCAAACAAAAAATGGGAGAACAGAATGTTTCTAAATTATTTATATCTCATCGCATCATCCATCAAGAAAATCTACGTGCAAAAGCTATGCAATTAGAAAATGTAATGTCTGTCGTATCCAACTACATAGTGCTGTTTTTATTGTGTTTAAAGTCACTTAGATTTTACAAATAGGTGAGCCGTTCACAGCCCGGCACACGCATTTGTAAAATCTAAGTGACTCATACAACATGGAATTCATATAAAACGGAATAATCAACAGTGTTATAGTGGGATCGACATTTATTTATTTATTTCATATTTGCAGACTAAAAATTTACAGGTCACAAGGTGTCAATTAACTACTATGGCCCGCGGAAAAAACGTAAAATTTATTCTGGCCCATGTTATAAAAAAGGTTGCCCACCCTTGATATAATTGACCATCAACACAATATATATTCTCCCGAGGAAGCTCTGGCTATAATTACCTCCATGAAGTTAACTAAATCGCAGTATATAATGCAGTGTTTTTCAACCGGGGTGTCGCAAAGTTTAGGGCCTTAGGCATTTTCTTGGAAATTTACTTAAATGTAGTTCAAGATAACTCATTGTCAGTTCTATTTTGCTACGAGGTATCTAGTAAGCAAAGAAACGATGACTGATTGCATGTTAATGTAATGTTCTACGCTACGTGTACGCACGATTTATCACGAGTTCGCCCAAACCACATTGCTTGGCCTTCACATTTTCAGTCCGAGTACCAGGCCAACCAGCAGAGAAGAACGCCTCACTCGTGTCTTGTATATATTAAACTTTAAAAAGCGTGTGGTTTCAATCACAAAGTAGGTGCATATTACAGTATTTTCATAGTATTCAAAAGCAATGATGACAAATAAACAATTTTTTAATCATTTTTTTAATTTAAATTTTTTAAATTGATATGAAAAAGATAAGAAAAAGTAATGAAATATTTATTTTATATATGCATCAAAATAGTATAAAAATCTTAACAAAAATTGTTTATCAATAAAATGCTAATATAAAATGATGACATATTTGATAATAAAACTTGATTTAAAAACAATAGCGAGACTATTATTTTACATGTAAGTATTTCGACAAAATTCGGTGGACTTAAATTTTGATTTTGAACATGTAGAAACGCTTGTTTTGCATTAAAATGCTACTTCAAACTGTCAATTTTTAAAATTTTTCTTCCCGAGGAACGGACTCTCTCCCGGACCCCACCCCAGTCTTTGCGTAATATTCGTTTTCGCAAAAAATTCATCTGGTCTATTAGTCCCCCCTTATTCAGATTCTAGATCCGCCGCTGGTCAAAGGTGTCACGATTTTTTATTTTTCAATCAGGGGTGCCACTCAATGAAAAAGGTTGAAAAACACTGATATAATGTTACGGCAAAGTTCTATAGAAAAAAGTATTAATATTTACCCATCTTACCACAGCATTAAGAAAGCAAAGAAAGCCTGTTATTTATCAGATGCTGCTACTACTATTACAGAAGATAAAATTGATATAAAACTTCAGGCGTTATGGACCTAAGTCACCTAACTACAGAACGTCTTTTTTTCACTCTAACAGATTTACTAAATACAGATGTCCTAAATAGTTTTAATGTAGAAGATAAATGTAATGTGAAGAATATTACCAACGTTTACGAGGACAAAGTGGATACAAACAAAGAGCTTCGGAAGAAAATTTCCAGGTCGCTAATATAATTACAATGTCTTTGGTACACATACAAACTTTTGCTTACGACAAAAATGAGAAGATAATTTTATGGCAAAATTCTAGACCAAGTTCTACTAGATATTGCAGACCAATTCGTTTTCGCTTCGTAAAAGAAACCGACAAGGAAAGTCTGTATGAATTTATTCACATCAAAAACCAAATTTGTGAGATACAAAGTATCGAAATTATATATAAGAATTTTACTGTAAAGGTAAATTACAAACCATGGTCGATACTAAGGTCTGTAATGCTTTAACATCAAATAAATTGACTCAAAAAGGTTACATATGTCGTTGGTGCACAAGAATAGTGACACAACTGAAAAAAATAGTTCTTCCAGAACAGCCATTTAAAAGTTTCTTTTATTTCTGCAAGGCTTTGTCATGATCTTGGATTTTAATATTTTCAAATCTTTATTTCCAAAAAACATTGAAAATTTTAAAAATCCAAGATCATCACAAAGCCTTGCAGAAATAAACTTTTAAATGGCCGTTCTGGAAGAACTATTTTTTTGAGTTGTATCACTATTCTTGTGCACCAACGATGTAGCACCACATCCAACCAAATGAATGATCTATCTAACATTAAAATGAGACAATGTAATGAAGAGACTTTTTCATTTGGTCTATCGACTCTTCGTTGTCACATAAGATTCGTGAAATCCATTCTTCACATAGCCTATCGAATGGATTAAAAAATGGCAAGTGCGCAAGACCGAAGAGAAAGAGTAAGTATCGACAAGAAACAAAAATATTATTGATAGATTTTGGTCTACTTTTGGACACTCCCAAGCAAGGTGGTGGAAACACCAAGGACGGTAACTCGTCAAGAACATTTTTTTTCGAACGTCACTCTTACTGCAGAGACAACCGGTGTTAACAAGAACCTAATAGAACCATTTTCGGTTATATTACAAGAACTTGCATCCGGCTACGAAATCGATATAAGCAAATTCGAAATCTACAGGAAGGAAACAGCGGAGTTATATGTGACGCTTTATCATTGGTATCCAATGCCAGTCACTCTTCACAAAGTTTTAATACGGATCACAAATTATATCTTCGTTTCTCATTCCAATAGGACAATTGTCCGAAGAAGTGCTAGAGGCTATACACAAAGAATTTTAAAAATTTCGTGAGAGTTATTTCCGAAAAAATTCTAGAATAAACATTAATATAAATATTTTCTTCGGATTCTCTCATTACAAACCTTATATTACTTGATATGAAAAAAACTTCATTAACCGCTAACTTTTTAAAATTACAAAAAGCACCAAGTGTGACCGTAGTACAAGATGACTCCAAGCTCCGAGTCAAACTCCGAATGTGACTCCGATATGTAAATTTTTAGTTGATACGTAAGTAAAAAATTTTTATTATAAAAATGAATTACGCTAGCCTACATACTTAAGTCCTGCTAGAATCGTCTTACGATCCACTGTGCGTCGGGACTCAATCCCGGGTCCCCCAGAGCGGTAGGCTGCCATCTTGACTGCTCGGCCATCCAGCCTTTATATAATTATGCACAATAAGCAACGTGCGCTCATAATTAACTAATTACAGCGTTCTAAAAGTTGATTTATTATATTAGAAATATTACAATTCGTGAATATTCAATATTTTTAAGTTAATACTTTTATTGTGATTTAAATCGATATACATGCTATATAACGTAAGAGACCTTGGATGCTGGCATTGGGATTCGATCGAACCTACGTTGAGTAGCCTATAGAAAAAGGTCCTCTTTAGTCGTTAGTGCGTACAGTACATAGGAAAGAATTAATTACAAGAAAATCTCATTACGCAACTGTTAATGGCTATTGTAAGGACAATTGAGTTTTATTAATCGTGCGTTAGCGAAAATTTTTCTACATCATAGAGCAACGTGCTAATTATTACTACTTTTTATTTTATTTTTGTGTTTCATTTGTAGGTACATCAACAGATAAGATATTAATCCACTAATTATCTGGAAAAAATAACTATATGTATAGTTATAAAGTAAAAATTGAAAGGAAAATAAAGAAGTAATATTACTTTTAAGATAACATCGTTAGAAACAACGAATAGATCTAAACAAGTGTAACCAATTTTTTCAGCATTCATTCTAGATTGAAAGACGTTTATCTGTAAATACCAATAACGTTATTATTACAATAGAGTATTACTACATCAATATGAAATGAATACTTGCCTGAAATGCCTCTCTCATTGGAATAGGTGCGCTTATGTTTTTAAATAGAATTTTTTCAGCTTGATGAGCCTGAAAGTAAATCAAGAATACATCATGTCTTATTTATATAAGATCGCAAATTAAATCAAAATTGTCAACGCAAAATAGAGCTCTTACGAGCCTCATGGTAGGCCATCTTATTTGCTGGTGGATCGAGTACCGAAAAAGATGCTTGCACTTTACTGGAAGCACACTGGCAACAACCGGAAGCAATCTGAGATTTTGAACAGAGGTGCTGGCTGCACGCTGAGATTTTGAATACGTCCATTATCTGGCTAGACACGCGGGGCAATGCTCACACAACGAGAAACAACGCCACACTGAGCAGGAAAACGAGTGGTTTCGCAAAATTAGCAGCGTGATCACATGGGCACGCCTAAGAAATCCGACGCAACCGATGAAAACCGAGGTATCACTGTATTAAAAAACTTTCTGTCTGCATTTCCATCAGTTATTTTTTTAGTTATTTTTATTGTAAAATACCAAAAGGTACATTCCCGGTACCGTAGGTACACAACCGGGTAAGATCGCGACAATGGATTAGCATTCAGTGTGACATACAGATTACAGTCAGATATGGTTACAATTACAAATGCAATAATACATCATGTAAAGCTACGAAATTTAGAGTTAGGTGATTACATCTGTTAGATTTCAATTATAATACAAGGTTAAGAAAAAAAAACAAAGGAAACAAATTACTGGAATATAACAACATAAAGCACAGCACAGCAAGGTGTTGTGCGCGCAAGATAACAACAGTTTCAAATACTTAATTTTTACAATATTCAGTGAACAAATTACAGATACTTAAACATTTGAATACAGGCTATGTTATACAATACAGAGTTGCTGTGTAGAAATACAAAATGCAGAACACAGGATACACAATATGAATAATAGTAATATACAAAGTGCATTGAACAGATGCCAGCATAGCTGGAATAGGTAGGTATATGAGTTAGTATGTGTGTTATAAAATATACAAATAAATGATTGCAGGATTACTAATGCACAAATAATAAAATATGTGATACAATGTGAAGAAATGAAGTGCTTAAAACCAAAGTACCAACGCTACAATACATCAAGGTGTCATATGCTAGAGTGAATAGATCAATTACAGATGCATTAGTATTTAAAACGATGCACGTTATACAAGTACAGATTTGCTGTGAAGAGATACGACAGTTGCCGGGTACATAATACGTGATACAGCTTACCGATTAACAGATTGTAATTGGCAGATGCTGACACAGCAGACGGTCAATTGAATGCTGGCACGGATGTCCTTTTAAAATACATATCAGTGAGCTGGATGAGTGCACGGTAGGTATCTTCATGTTTGAGAAGGCATCCCAGATTTGGAGGAGGCCAGTTGATGTTATGGGCTTCAGTGAGGATCCTCAGTTGTAGTCTCTCAGGTTCCAACATCAGACAGTGTAGGATGTAATGAGTACTTCCGTCCGTGGCGTTACATATCGAGCACAATGTGTTGGTCGTACCTTTAAACCTCGCCAGGTAGGCGAAGAACCTACCATGGTTGGTGAGCATCTGGGTTAACTGATGACTGGGGGAGTACCATTTCAGTCCGATGAATTCTTTTATGTCAAGAATGAAGTTGTGAGTGACTGAGTTGTTTTCATCCCAGTCTTGCTGCCAAGAGGCAATGAGTTCCTGCCACAGAAGTCGCTTTACGGTTGTCTTGTTCAGTTTATGGTAAGAGATGGGAAGGTCTAAGTTGGTGGATGCCTCTTTAGCGAGGGCATCCGCCCTCTCATTGCCGTGTTGGCCCTGATGGGCCCTCGTCCAGTTGAGAAAGTATTTATTATTTGAACAGATTATGATGTCCAGGATGTCATGGGCAATGGGGTGGAGGCTCTGGGTCTGTAAGAGTGCCATTGCAGAGGCACTGTCGGTGGTAATATTGATGGTCTTGTCAGTGTGATGTTGGTCAGTCCAGGCCACAGCCTTGTAGATGGCGAACAACTCAGCCTGGAAAACGGTGCAGTGTTCTCCAAGTCTGAATTGCCCCTGTGTATATTCCACACCATTGTAGAAGGCCACATAACTGCATCCCACATTCGTACCAGTCTTTGATCCGTCCGTATAGATGTGAACGTCTTCTCGTTCTGGAATGCTGAAGTTGATTCTATGAGGGGTAGCGGGATGCCGTGAATGGGCAAAATCGACATTTGTCTCAAAGTCTTCATGCATTTCCATCAGTCAAATTTTACATGATCATATATAAATAAATGCGACTGCACTAAAATTCTTATTTAATTTTAGAAGACAAGCTTTCCGAAGAGTGCTGCATTGAATGTCATTTATTTATTCCTTACCGGTGCTTCATCGAATGTATGGATTATATGTATGACTAGAAATGAAGTTATTTTACCGTACGACTCAACGCAAATGCGGTCGATTACTTGAAATTTTATTTTAAAACTTCAAGTAATAGACCGTATTTGCGGAGAGTAATAAATTTCACTGATCCAGTTCGAAATTTATATCAAAAACAATTTGTTACATAATTTTGGATACACTTAACCAATAGACAAATAAGACAAATATCTAGAGAGAGTAATTCGGATGAGCTTGGCTTCAGTACAGAAAAAATAATAAATAAAAAATTTTCGTTATACCTGAAACTCTTATTATTCAATTATTATTAAGTGTTTGTATTCTCTATTATTAATAAAAATTTTAAGTGACATCATTTAAGAATTCTTTAGAAGCGATTTACTTAAATGGTGCTCAAATCTGAATTTTGTCTCGGGCATAATCAGACACTGATGGGCCCCAGGAAAATTTGAATTAGAGGGCCCCATGTACAGTGTTAACTTCAAACAAATTTTGTTGGGGAGAATTTTTGGGGAATCGGTATCCGCGTTCGCTTTTTAACGCGATCTTTGTGCTGTACCAGTATTCCTTGCGCTTGCGCCAACCATCAATTAGGGTCCCCAGATATGGCCGAAATTTTAATTTCGATATTTCTACTACAGTTATGAGTGTATAAAAGATTGGTTAGGGCCGGATGGCCGAGCGGTCAAGGTGGCAGCCTACCGCTTCGACTGAAATAATTAAATCCTAAATATGCGGCCGGATGGCCGAGCGGTCAAGGTGGCAGCCTACCGCTCTGGAGAAATCGGGATCGAATCCAGACGGGTCAAGGAATCCCCAGGAATTTTTCGGAGGGGGGGGGGGGTTGATCCGTTCGGGTATGTCGGGCCCCGCCCCTCACCATCACCCATTGTGGGCCTGGCCGAACCCATGATGGGCCTGCTATAAGAGACCCTCTTAGTGCCCACAGGGCGGAAAGAGTATTAAAAAAAAGATTGGTTAGGATCCCCAGGCAATTGCCTTTTTTTGCCCATAGGATAACGCGTCACTATTCAGTACACAACGTTTTCCCGAGAAATGTCCATATTATAAGAAATGATAAAAATGTTTGCCATTATTCTCGAGTCGCGACGCTGCATGTTTGCAAACGTAGCCACAAGTTTGCAAGACGGCCACACTGATCGCAGCAACATCATGTCGAATTGTTTATTTTGGCCCACCAGTGGTCAAGTGGTTCCATTCCCTGAACACTGGGAGTTCGGTTGTGGGTTCACGCCTGATCAGGACGGGATGACCACGTGGAGTTTTCTGGGTTTTCTCCACATCAGTAACGCCCGAATAGGGGCCGGTTACCCTTAAAAGACCTCCAGGAAGGCATCCCCCTAGGTAGATCGCCCAAGTGTTACGTTGCTGCAACTTAACAAAACAATTGTTTGTTTTCAGTTTCTATATTTAGTATATGGCTTGTTGTATACACTTTCTTTTAAGATGTATTTTCACCTTTTCCATAGGAAAAGACAAAAATTACTTCGAAATAATATAGATTTCATTCATGCTTTCGCGCGGTGTAGCATTGACTCAATCCTTTTGACAAGTAACGTTTCGGAGCTTTTTTTAAAACTCTTTTCGCTCTGTGGGCACTAAGAGGCCTCGTTTAGTAAGTCCATTATGGGTTCGGTCTGGTCCACAATGTGTGAGGGACGGGACCCGACATATCTGGACGGACCACTCCCGGAAAAATTCCTGGGGAGTTTACGACTCGTCTGGATCCGTACCCGTGTTTCCCAGAGCGGTAAGCTGTAGCTCGTAGCAATCAATTTGATTCACAAACTCTTTGGTTTGCAGTGTTCAGTGTCTTAGAAACCTCAAAGGTCGCCAGGACTTTCTTTTCCTCCTTTCTAATGCACAAGGTTGTTTTTGCCTCATATTTCATAGTTGTATATCTAGACTTTGCTGAGACATTCGTATCTTCCGGAGTCTAGCACCGAAGAATAACCCTGTATCTTCTTATCCCGTTACAAATTTTATTCTAAGTAACATTAGTTCATTTCTTTAAATGTTGTTATCGGATCCGTATGAATTGGATACGCGTTTATTTTAAAATGTGCTTATTCCGGCAAGCATTTTTATATTCTTTTCTGAAATCATTTCTTATGTACGAGGGTTGATCAAAAACTAAAGTTACAAGGCCGATATTCCTGGAGTTTCGTTTGTTATAGAGAAATGAGAAGTGTTCAGTAATTCCAATACACAAGTTTCAGCAGCCCGCCACCTACAGCGTTAGTTGTAGGTAAACACAAATGGCTACTCATTCGGAAAACTGGTCTCGCGAAGAAATGCGCTCAGTTATTCGATTTCTGTAGACGAAACATGTAACCCCGGCTGAAATTCACCGGCAGCTGGTAGAGGTTTACGGAGAGACTAATTTCTCGTCAGCATGTCGCAGAATGGTGTGGGAAGTTTGCGGCCGGTAGAGAAAAGGTCACCAACGAGGATCGCAGTGACTCAGCACGGCATCAACAGATGTCAACACAGCTCGTGTGGAGGAGCTGATTCAGGACAATAGGAGGATCACGTTACGGCAATATGACGGTAGAATTGGGAATGTCGTTCGGAAGCATTCGTCACATTGTTCACGATATTCTGCAGTACCAGAAAGTTTCTGCCAGATGAGTTCCATGAAATCTGTCCAACCAACACAAGGAGACGTGGATGGGGTAAGTCTTCAACTTTTGCTACGGTTATCCACAGAAGGAAACAGTTTTCTTCACTGCATTGTCACGGGTGACAAAACACAGATCCGCCACTACACCCCCAGCAGCAAGCGATTGTCAATGAAGTGGAAACACACCTCCTCTCCAAAGACAAAGAAGTTTAAGGTGACGCCATCTGCCGGGAAGGTGATGATCACAGTGTTCTTAAACAGCGCGGGTGTCATACTCGTGGAGTTTTTGGAAAGAAGACACACAGTGACCGCTGACCTACACTGCGAGACCTCAGGAGGAAAGGACTTCTCACCGAAGGCGTCATCTTCCTTCATGACAACGCGCAACCTCATACAGCCCAGAAGACCACCACGCTGTTGAAGCAGTTTCGCTGGGACATCATCGACCATCCTCCCAACAGCCCGGACCTCGCTCCAAGCGACTTTCACTGTTTCTTCACTTGAAGGAGAACCTAGCAGGACGACGATTCGCTTCAGACGAGGAAGTGAAACACTTCACTACAACTTGGCTGAACACGCAAGGACAGGATTTTTACCAGGAGGGCCAGAAGCGGCCGGATGACGTGCGGTCAAGGTGGCAGCCTACCGCTCTGGGGGACCCGGGCTCGAAACCGAACTAGTCGAAAAATCCCCAGGAATTTTTCGGGGGTTGGTCCGTTCGGATATGTCGGGCCCCATCCCTCACCACCCGGCAGCCCCATTGTGGGCCTGGCCGAACCCGTAATGGGCTTGCAAAAAGAGACCTTCTCAGTGCCCACAGGGCGGAGAGTTAAAAAAACCAGGACAGGATCATTGTATAGACCAAGGGTGGGCAACCTTTTTTATAACATGGGCCAGAATAAATTTTACGTTTTTTCCGCGGGCCATAGTAGTTAATTGACACCTTGTGACCTGTAAATTTTTAGTCTGAAAATATGAAATAAATAAATAAAAAGAAATTAATTACTACAGTCGACCCCCCTATAACACTGTTGATTATTCCGTTTTATATGAATTCCATGTTGTATGAGTCACTTAGATTTTACAAATGCGTGTGCCGGGCTGTGAACGGCTCACCTATTTGTAAAATCTAAGTGACTTTAAACACAATAAAAACAGCACTATGTAGTTGGATACGACAGACATTACATTTTCTAATTGCATAGCTTTTGCACATAGATTTTCTTGATGGATGATGCGATGAGATATAAATAATTTAGAAAAATTCTGTTCTCCCATTTTTTGTTTGAATAAGGAAATGACTCCCTTATTTTTTCCTGTCATTGCTGCCGCAACACTTCAGAAAATAATATTCAATTTAAACTAGACGAATTACATCGAAAAATATTTATTTATAATTTCTTCTAAACATCTCGCGGGCCGGATAGAAACTTTTCGCGGGCCGTAGCTGGCCCGCGGGCCGGGGGTTGCCCACCGTTGGTATAGACAAATGTCTCATTTGTCTATACGATTTTTAGAAGGGCTGTCTATTTTGAAAGATATTGATGAAATTTTTAAAATTCGTCATACAAACGTAGCTGACGGCGGCGATAAGGACGTATCAATTAATACTGTATTGCTAAAAAATAATGGTTGTGGAGATATTGATACTGAAGAATTGGACGAGGAATTGTTGCAATTTAAATTAATTTGCAAAAGCCAAAAATTAACGTTGCCATCTGATATGCTGCAATTTATAAAGAGCACAAAACTAGTATCAACATTTCCAAATATAGAAATATTATTGCGAATATATTTAACTTTGCCTATATCAAATGCATCTGTTGAAAGGTCATTCTCAGTATTAAAACGTATAAAAAATTATTTACAAAACTCACTAAGTGAATCAAAATTAAATTCTTTGGCTTTTTATACATCGAATAAAATGCTTTGTATAATATTAATTATGATGAAATAATTGATAATTTTGCTGAATTAAAAACTAGAAAACAGAATTTTTAAATAAAGTTTATTCATATTTATATACTGTACTTACTTTTTAAAACTATCTTGGCTTTTATTTAAATTATCTTTTTCATTATACAATTTACCTTCCATGGGTAAAATATTATATTATTTAAATATTAACCAAAAATTAAGCAATCAATATTTTAAGGTAATATTGTTATTGTATAACAACTTTTGTTAGATATTTAATAAAATAAATTTCAATTTTTTAAATTTATAAACAAAACTGTTCAAACTTTTCTAATTTATTGTTGTGTATTAAATATTTTTTATTAATGAGAATTTAAGATTTGTTTTAGTTTTTCACATTATTTAGTTGTTTTATTTATTGTTTTATATTTTTTGTGCGCTCTATTTCTTGTGGGAGAGGGAGAAAACGAAGAAAATGTCTAGGGCTCCAAAGTGGATAACCTTACTTACAAAGTGGGTAACCGGCCCTGTTTGTAACCTTACTTTTTGATCATCCCTCGTAAATAAAAATAGCATGCAGATTATAGTAGTGAAAACGATATTCAAGTACGAGCAAGAAATTAAGCAAGAAACATCTTGCTTTCAACATTTTACGTTGAAATCAAGAGAATTTAATGTCAAACGCAAGTAAATTTTTCAATAAACTTTATGCTGTGAAATATTTTAATGAACTATATTCAGCAACTTAGGCTATTTTAATAAATTCTAACGATATTGCAAAAATATTTTAAAAATTAGAATAAGAAACTTACTGAGGACGATAGAAATCCCGCTACGAGTGTAATTGCTGTTACAATAACAGTTGCAATCATTAAATACATAACTTGAAACCATATCAATTCGTCAGAATTACCGTCAATTATGTTGCACAACCCCATTAGTATCATTGGAATAAAAGTACAATAAACCAAGAAAATATACACGCTGAAGAACTCGTCGGCTGCTTGTATCATCTGTGTTAACTTTAAATGTTGTTCTTGGATGAATTTGAAGTGATTCACCTCTTCTAGACGGTTGAAAAATTTCTGCAGTTGATTGCATACAGCATTCATTTTCAGTCTGATGACTAAAGAAATTATCACGTAATAATAAACTCCATGCTGGGTTATTAAATTTATCCACGTTATACAACTTAGTTCCAAAATAATCATCATTATTTTAGCATTATATTCGAGATAATGAAATATTCTTCCCGTAGCGGTTCCTGTAATGATATTTACTATTACAACAATAACGGGACATATGATCTTATAGGTAGAATATTCGATCTTTCTAACGTACGCAATATTACATTCCGAGGTTGATAACGGTGTTTGCTGCATGAAACCATCCAATACCAGCTCCAATTCTGGTAAACACTCATGTCGATTATATATGTAGAAGGTGCAAAATGCGAAAATCGCGAACTGCATGTGAATTATTATTATTTGATACTGCTGCGATTCGATGATGTCATAAATTCTATGATTTTCTTGAAAGTTTTGAATGATTCCAAAGCATAATTGACCGAAAATGACGATCAAGCCTAGAGTTATTAAATAAGGTAACAGGCGCTTCACATAAGTCGCAAATCTTGAATTTCCTTCTAATACCAAGAAATATCTGATCGTTACTCGTGTCTTTTCGATTATACAATATAAATCGGGGGATATAATTGTTGGACACACAGGTAAATGTATACTTTGTACGTCAGCCATATTTAATATAGTAGAAGTTCTTCACATAACGTCAACGTTGCAATATGCGATATAATGGAATAATCTGCAACTTATCGATTTTCGAAAGTGCGGCGCACATAACCAGATCGATAATTCTAAATCTAGAATTTTAACAGCATTAAAATTAATCGAACGACATTCAACATTTTCTAATCACGTTCTGCTTTAAAATTATTATTCGTAAAGCAAGAAAACATTAAACAATACTTCCGGAATTAAAAGAGCATACACAAACATTTAGCAACTTTAATTTTAATGATAACTAAAATCGACATTAAAAAAATACATTTTTCTTTTAATAAATAGTGAATTTATTTCAATTAAAATGACAACACGGGATGGATCTGTATTCATTTTTTTCCAGATCACTCGAAACTCCCATTTAATCCGTACATAAAGATTGATTAATAACTGGACCAAGTTTGCAATCACGAAAATTCCGAAGATTTTAAAATAATAATAATAATAATAAATCACTGTTAAAAACGTTTATCGAAATGCACATCTCACAATTTACTACATTTTTAGGATCATCTCGATTTCAATTTTCCTATCATCATAGGTGTTAATCAGTTCGGACATTCACACAGCTGTACTGTATTTTTTTTATAGGTACAAAAACGAGTAAGATAGCATCGCTCGTTTCCACCTAAGTACACAACTATACGAGTAGAATTCAAAAAACTTAAGATAACAGCATAAAAATTTCCATTAAACTACTGTAACTAATAATAAATATTTGCAAAAAATTAATCCGAAATAATCGTATACAGTTCAAGAATAATCTTCAACAAAAAATTTAACAAAAACATTACCTCCGATTATATGAAAAGGAGAGGAAAAAAAATTTATCTACGTACGTAATTAATTTTAATTATGTACAATGTGCAAATTATGAGCTTTGCTACGTTCGCAAATATATTAAAATCATACGCCTAGATAATGGGAGGGGGAAAAAACGATGTATTTCACACACTTAACAACAGAGCGCAGTAAACTTTTTTTTTGTACTAAAACGTGTATACTTAATCGTACACTTGTTTTATATTTATTTATTTATGTATATATATATTTACAAAAAATAGTAATATTAATATACTAGACTCGAGGACGAAAATCCCCGTTGGATGAATTAAATACGAAGCTATCTCTCGACAAATTGGTGCACAAATTAAACATGTGCACGCTATAGGGTGAAATGGTTACTACTTTCTAACTAAAAAACTGGAATCGCGCGAGTTATTATATGCAAATATGAGCATTTAGTGCGCTGTACTATTCCGTAATATATTGCTTAAGGCGTCTGATCGCACCAGAAAATATTTAAATATACAATACAGCAAACGTTTAGTTTTATCATACACAACAATAACGTTTATATAGCTCTGGAGATGATTATAAGGCTAATTGAATATCTCTGTACTTTGACGTGTTTTTATAAAATTAACATGTTTTAGAGATAATCGTTTACGCTATTTCGAAAAATAATTGTATAAATATATATATATGTATGTTTGAATGAGTGTGTGTGTGTATATATATTTATAATTTTTCCATTTAAAAACATGTTAATTGGATCATAATATTTACACACTATTTCGAGTGTTTATAAAATACTTAAAAGTGAAAAGTTTCTTCGGGAAATATTGTAAAGTCGTCTTCTTTCTGAGAAGGAGAGATATTGCTATTTAATAATCTGGAGCGCCTTCTGTTTACATACTTCATAGTTTGCTCCAAATCTGTTTCGGGCTGTGTACATTTTGTTCCAGAATCACTGGTAGATTGAAGCAACGCGGGAGAATCGTACAAAGATTCTGGATTAACAAAGAAATCGATTCCATAGTCGATATTGAAGCTATCTGGCAGTGATATGGTTTCGTGAAATGTATTTCCGGTATTTTGCTCTTCGATCTGTTTGCATTTCATCTTTCGTTCGTATCCTATTGGATAGAGAGAAGCAGTGTTGACTTGGGAAGACGATGCACCTTCTTCGAATTTTGAACTACCATCAGAGTTACCAAAAACACTAATTCTTGGGGGAATCACATGAAATTTAACGGTGGGCAACTTGAATTGATCGTCATTATTTAAACAATTTGATGTGATGGGACTGTTCGTGCATAGTGTCGAAGGTGTGTAACTTTCTGAAAATGTATGAGGTTCAGAAGTTTTGGAATACATGGCAAACTTTCGGCAGTGTTCCAGAGTGAGACTGTGATTAAATGATGCATTTAAAGTTACAAATGACTTTATACCACATATATCACATCCTGGAAAGGTTTTCTGTTCATTTGACTTCGATGCATAATGAGATGTTTCCATGCTATTTGTCATAGGAAGATCTACTGGGGGCATTTTATCGAGCATTCCTTTTGAACCTTGAGAATAAAAGTTAAATTTGGGATGAATTCTCTGTTCGTTGGCATTTAACACTTTCACCGGAAAGCTGGGATCGGTATAAGATTGTTTAGTTAAACTTTCTGAAGCCATAGCATTTTCTGTAAGCTTCGATTTATCTACCTGATTGCAGAATTTTGAAGATTCTGCTAAATTCATTTCTCTGTAACGATTCAAAATTAATTCAACCTGCCTATGTGTATCCATTTTTGTCTTATGTTCTTGGCTGGCAAAGTGTAGTTGGGCAGCTTCAGCTGAACTGAAATTTTTCACGCACATATTACACCTATCATAGTAACTACCAGAAGAAAGCAATGAATGTATGGGATGCCCAGTGCACACCATTTTTTTTGTTGAAACTGGGAACGAACTAGTGAGACGTTCTACTTTATCATCCGAAGTAAGATACCTTTCGGGTTGTTTGAAGTGAAAAGTTTCAGTCATTTCCTTTGTGGGAATTGTATCACCGACCATCGAATAATTACACATACCAGTTTCTGCATTAACAGCATCTTTTGTTAAAACTGGCTGATGAATTTTCATTTCCATCTTTTCTAATAAAATCTTTTCCTGTTGTTTCTTCTTATGATTTTTGCTTTGGAGATGTTGTTCATAAGGTATTTTACCATTGAAGTACTTTTGACATAAGTCACAAATAACTACTTGTAGATGATTGATGTTCTCAGAAAAATATTCAATTTTACTACTCATAACTACCTATAAAGAGAAGAAAATAAAAATCAGAAAACTTTTAATTTGTTATGACATTCAAAATGATATTAGTTTAAATAATAGAATTTAAGTTAAATGAATGGAACATTATTTCATCAAAATCTGAAACACCAATTATAAAATTCAAAATAATCATTATCATACTTTCTTTTTAAAGCAAGAGCTACAAGTTTTTTGCAGTAAACAATTTACTTCATTTGTCTTCTTTTCAAAATTAAATTTAGTTTAAAAAAAAAAAATATGTAAAGTAGGGCACAGTCTATAATTTAACTTTAAAATATACTTGATCATGTATAAAACATATCACATGTAAAGTCAACTTCATGTAGTTCATTAGATCTTACTGTACTGTACAACACGGACTTTTCTCAGCCAATCATAAATACAGTTAGACTCCGCTTAATGCGGGGGATGTGTTCCTAGACAACAAAGCGCTAAGCAAAACAGTGTTAAATGAGGTCATTTTAACAGAGTAAATAGGGATAGGAAAACATGCAAACAAAAATAAACAAATTTTACTTTAATTTTAAGTTATTTTTATATTTATTTGCATAATAATGTGTGTTAAATAACACAAACATACACACAGAAATGTAAAGTTCTTTTTTTGTGATGAAGGTCCTGATTTTCTGAAATTCTTGTTCTTTTCAAGTCGTGAAGTTTCATTTATCGCTGTTTTCTTTCCTTAAGCAAATATCAGTAGCAGGAGATCACATCCAAAATGCTTCGTCTTGCTTTTGCTCTCCTTTCAAAATCTGGATCATTCGCCACAATTTGATTTCAGTTATCGTTACCAAACTTTTACTAACGAAATCTGTAGAGAAATATTTTGGGTTCTTTGCTTTCAGAATCTATTTTCCAGTTCCACATGAATTCCATGATCTGCCAGTTCTCAAAGGTCGTTGTTGGTAAGGCTCTTGCCAGAAACCTGCTGTAACTCCTCAATATCCTGCTCGTCTATATCTCCTAGTCCTGCTGTATTGATTGGTTGAGTTTGGTCAACCTAACATCCATCCCTACAAGTTATCAGAAGATAAGCAACTGTACTCTTAAACGCATTCTATGGGAAGAGGCTATCGAAGAATGGCAAGTATGTTGGAATAACTTCAACCAAAGCATCACTTATCGCTTTGTTCCAGTTTTAAAACAATTCTTCAAAATCAGATGATACGTACCTGATCACTTCACAACACAACTACTAAGCAACCACGAAAGATTTGCTAGCTACTTGGCAAGGTTTACTAATAGGACCTCAGACCTTTGTCCCATCTGCATGATAAGAGATGATGCCTCACACTATCTTTACAATTGTGTGTCTACAGAGACAGAACGAATGGAGCTCTGCCTCTCTCTTTCAAACCTAGATGTTGACTGGCCATGCCAACCTGTGGATATCTGGAGATCCAACGAGATCTACTGCACCTTTAAAAGACTTGCTCAAAAAACTTTTCAGATCTTAAGTAAGCTATTGAATTGATGCCTACTGTTCCTGGCACAAGTTTTGTCAGTTCCCTCTATTATCTATACAACAACTTCACCGCGTAACAAGATGTCGCGTGGTTGACATATTTTATATAATATGATTTTATATTTTTGTACTCTCTTATTCTCATGTATACTTTGTTTTATAATTATATTTCTAACAATGTGTAAACTGGGTCTCAGCATGTATACTTCACTGTAAAAAAAACTTTTGTTAAAATAGAAATAACTTTCTTCACTTGTTAATACTGATTCAGCATGTATATTACAGTGTATTATTATGTATCTAACAAATATTATCTTTGCCCCAATAGTGTCTATGATGGGATCAGGGCATGTATTTTTTATAATATGTTCAATAAAAGAATGAATGAATGAATGCCAAGCAAAGTCGATATTTCCTATGGCATCCATGATGTTATATTTTTTCCAAAATTGCACCAAACAAAAGATAGATTTAAAGAAAGTACACCTTTTTGCCAACTTTTGCTGATTGGTTTGTGTTTGCAAATAATCATATGTATGAATCAATAAAATGCCGCGATAATTTAAATCAGCATAAATTTTGTTTTTTTTAGGCTTCAAGCAGACTGCTTTATCTCAAATCAGCATTAAGCGAGGGAGCATTAAGCCGGGTCTTACAGTACTACAAATTGCAAACAGCACTTATAGAACATCTAAAAGTAATGAATTACATTAAATCAAATGTTATATAATTCCCTCAGGTGTTTAAAACATCCTCTCTACACTTGTCTACATCCAGTGGCATAACAACATATGACCAGGCACTGGTGCAACATTTCCAAAACAGTCCTCCCACTGGGCCTTCTGTACTTTCATTCCTATACACTGCCTAATAAAGAAAATTATAAAGTGATAAGTAATTTATTCATTTTAAAAATAGTGAACTATGTTGGTACATTACAGACCTATGTGTGGAACACTGACCAACAAAATTTTTTCTGGGCTTCAAGGCCAGCTAGTTTCCTTTCTTCTGAATTTTTGATAGCAACTAATGCTAAACTACTTAATCTCTCTTCTGCCTTTGAATTCCTAAAATAGTTTTTTGTAAACCTTAGATAGAGAATGTTGAACTGAAGCTTTAATGACAATACTGTAAGAAATAATAGAAAAGCAATGCAGAATTTGGCAACCTAGACACAACCACATGATTTCCATGAGAAGTAGGTCTGTTAATTCTTTCAGTGTAGCTCTATCAGCAATGTCTTTCTCTTAGTAAGATTTGAATGCGAGCAGTTGTGTTGGGAATGATGGTAATAAATCATCTTCCTAACAGGCAATAAGTTTTTCTATAGTTGCATATGGTTTGTTAGATCAGGAACAAGGGAAGACTAAAGAACAGTGTAAAATGTGCCCAAACTGTATTCTGACGTCTCAAATTGATTCACAAACTATTACTATATTTAAAGTAGCATTCAAAACATCTACTTTAAATCTGCTCTAGATATAAGTCAACCTTCAGTCTTTACACAATTTACCATAGGATTGTAGCATTAGTCAACATTGGATGATCTGCCAAAGACAGAGTATCTCCTGAGAGAATTTTCTATAAGAAACTTATAGAAAATTCTCTCAGGAGATAATCTGTCTTTGGCAGATACTTATCCCTGCTTAGATGTCACACAAAGAAAACTCTGCATGGGCAGCCTGTTGGCTTGGTGTGAACCCATGTTCAGTAGTCTTATCAACTTAGCCAAGGGTGGGATGATCAAATTTATCAGAACACTGACACATTATTTTCCTATACTTCTGGAATGTTTGTAAGATTTGCCAAATTTCAGCTAGTGTTATAGGCCAAGGGTACCTGTACAATTGCAGAGGTTGAACAAATAATATTTACACCATTGTTTGTGTTCATAGTTTGTTCAACAGTAAAGTCTGTGCTGTATGGTAAGATCCAATAAAGTATCAGTGAATGACTATACATCTGGTATCTTTTACACATTCCCAAGTATATTTTAAATACTTAGTTTAATATAATTTAATGTTTGTTAAATGTTATTTTAATTATTAAATTGTATTTGAATTAAAAATTTCAGTCCTAAACTTGTATACACAATCAACCATACCTGTCTAAATCAAGAATATTTGTTTAATATTACATAAGTTGCTTTATTTAAATTAGTTCTGTAAAAGAGATGATTTGTTCAGATATGTTTTCAGGATACGAAAGCATAAATTTGACATACAACATAATAGAAGTACTGTACAACTGCCCTCTTCACTTATGTGACAGACCCAGACATTACGGCGGACTTCACTGGAGCACCTATCATCCTTACCATCCCGCACCCAGAATATCTCAAATGATTGGAGGCAATCAAAATTTTTAAGGCTTGCTGCAGAACTACCTGCATTAATTTTACGGAGAAAATGTGCCTTTCAATGGCATGGCAAGCTCTACTAGCAATAATATTTAACATAAAACTTGTCCCAAAGTATGAAAATTTATTCTCCAGACTAAAAGCAAAACAACAAATAAAAAAACCAAAAATGACAAAAGATGACACGAGTAACATAGTACATATGGCTAGAAACAAAGTGAGAACTGTTTTTTCTTACTCGTAGATGAATGTTAAAAAACTCTTAGAAATTTATCCTGTTGGTCTGTTTGTCTTTTGTCCAACCTATGGAACAAAGTGTTACTGTTAGCAAAAGAAAACAATCCGAATGTGTTAACCTAAAAATGCTGTGCTATCTGTATATATGTATCTGTGCACATGGAAAAATTTTAAGGTATGTTTATAGAATATGTTATATATACATGGCATACAGTCCCTTTGTATATTGTTGGATTATAATTCGCATATTTATATGTATCCTCTTCATATGTATGATTTTAATGTTTAGTTGGCTGAGGAGGGGCAGGAGCCTGAAATGCATGCTGTAGTAAGCATCCCAACTGAATAAAAAGATGAAAAATTTACCTAGTGTTTGAAAATTGTCACTACATTGTATCTGTGTAAGGAAAAAAATATAAAACATGGTTTCATTAGCATAAAAAATCATATTTAAAGTGAAATGCATGTGTGTATGGTATCTGAAATTATTACCATTTGATTTATATTTGATTATTAACTGCCAGCTTGTTTTGAATAAAAAAGAAGATTGAAGAAGAGTCCTGAAGGGGCTAAAAAAACATTTGCAAGTTTTAATCATATGCACACTGGTCAACTGGTTAATGTGAGTCGCACTGTTTATAGAAAACTGGTTATAATCAATCAACTTGAGACACCAACACACTAAAGACCGGTTACAATTGCATCTATTATATGTGAACCTGACTGGCAATACAAACACTATACCAAACATCTGTAGGTACGTATGCATGTTTCCCAGATTCAAGGAACTCTTCAACATCCAATGTGACTAGTTAAATTCTTATTGCTACTTGTATAATTTAATCAGGGTATTATTTCATATAAAGTCATTCAGTAAGATCATTCATTGATGAGTTTATATCATGAGAACTCCTCAATGTG